CCTCGGTAAGACGGTAATCCAATCAAAAAAGACATTTAGACTTGACATCTTCAGGCTGCTGGGCCAAGTGCTTCCCATAACAAGACAGAAACAAGACAGACTTTGCCCTCGCCCAACTCCCATTCTGCTGGGGATATAACATGAATAGAGAATTGAATACAAAATCCATGCACTGGACACATAGTACAGAGGAATTTCAAGAGGGATAGAGTGTCTTTTGTAGGAAGTAGCACCTGAGCTGGGCTTTGGAGGAAGTTAGGGATTCTTCAGCCAGGCCTGAAATCAGGAAGACCCGAGTTCAAATCCAGCCTCAGACATTTACTTGCTGTGTGACCCTGAACAAGTCATTAACTCTTGTCTGCCTCAGGCTCTTTAACTGTAAATTGGGGGTGGCAATGGCCCCTTTGCAACCCTCAGAGCTTCAGGGAAGCGCTACTTGGAGCAGCAGCTGCACCTCGGCAGCTCTGGGGAGGGCAGACTGGAGTGGTCGGCTGCCCCTGGACTAGCCCCGGGTGAGGGGCTTAGAGCCTGCACCAGGCTGGAGGCGGTGACAGGGGAGGGAGGGAGCGCCTGCCAGGGATGGTTTGGAGACAGAACGGACACATTGCACTCTGGCCTCAGTTTCCCCATCTGTATAATGGGAGGGGAAGGCGATCAGAATTGCAGCAGACGAATTTGCTGGATGACGTCCTTCCTAAGTTTAAAAACAAATGCCGAGAGAAGCAAGGAAGGTTCCCCTCTATCGTCTTCCTCCAGCCTCTGGACTACATTTCCCAGAAGTCTCTAACGCGGCGCCGGGTGGAGACGCGGTTGTTATGGAAATGAACACGCGCAGAGAGGAAGGCAGTAAACAGAGAGGAGGTGCGGTGTGGCCAAGGAGCGGCCTTTGATTGGCGGACGGCACGTGACGGTTCGAGGCGGCGCATGCTCTGAGGGGCCGTGGTGTTTTTCCTCGTCGCCTCTCCTTAGCTACGCAATCAGGGACTCGCCCGGACGCGGGAGGCGACAGCCGCCAGAGCCCCCGTCTATGGCCCAGCGGCCGGCCCGTGGGAAGTCGGGCGCTGCCGAGACCTTGGGGAAATGGAGCCCGCGGGGAATTCCCGGAGGCGTAGGCCCGGGAGGCGGTCCGCGCGTGCGCAGTGCCGCGGCGCGGACGGCGATGCGCGCGCAGCCCCGGCCTCCGAAGTAGCCACGAACAGCCCGGACAGGTGAGCAGGGAAGCGGAGCCGGGAAGAGGGAGGGACGCGGGTGTTGCCTGGTGACCGCTGGGCCCGCCCTCCTGTGGCGTCATCACCAGTCAGCGCCCCCGCTGGGAGCGGCTCTCAGGATCACCTTGGCAACCTCCCCGCCCTCCCTCGTGACGTCATGCCCTCAGCTTCTGCCCCAGGGACCCGGATTCCAAGCTCCACGCGGGCCCCTTTTACTGATGGAGAGACTGAGTCCTCCCTGCGGCCATGGTTTGAGAGAGTGGGGCCTGGACCGTCCGTGTCCTTGCCTGCGCAGCCCCGACACCCCATCCCTGGTCTGTTACGTTCTCGATTCCTGAGATCTCAGGGCCTGAGAGGGGTTCTAGGGCTGTTGGGGCATGGGCGGCAGAGAAGCCCTTCCTTCCCCGTCCTCCTCCTCACCCTCACTGTGAAGGTGGACAGAGCTCTGGACTGGTACCCTAGAGGTCACTACGCACGCTGCCCTATTTTTAGCCAACGAGAAACAGGTTCAAAGATGGTGGGGTACCTTACACGGCTCTCCGTGCAAATTCAGCAAAAAGCCCTGGAAGTCAGAAGTGGGGGGCGGGGTCCTTTGTGGTCTCCTTCACGGCCCCTCCCTTCTTCCTTGGCTTCTTTTTGAGGCCCCCGCGCACATGGTAGGCCTTTAATAAATGTTGATCGAGTGGATGAATTCTGGGACACTGCTGCTCCTCCATCTAGCATTTGTAAAGCACTGACTTTGTTCAACAGTCCCTGCCCTCAGGGAGCTCACCTAAAAAGGCGACGCCTTAGATACATCCAAGTTCTGTAGAGGTGGGAGGTAATCTGGGGGGAAGGTCCTAGCCACACCTGGAAAGGCCTCCTGCAGAAGGTGGGATTTGAGCTGAGTCTTGAAGAAAGCCAAGGAAGCTGAGAGGGGGGGCATTGCCAGGGCACGGGGGCCGCGGCCGGGGTAGACTCAGAGAGGACAGCCCATCCTATCTCAGCATCTTCGCTCCTGCATCAGCACCTACCTGCTGGATAGCTCCCTGGGGGCGGCTCCTGCCAGCTCAAACACTTCTAACATAGAACGCACATCCACTCTCCACCCAGGCTCCCTCCAGACGTCCCTGTTTGGGGACACCCCCTCACCTCAGAGTCAGGCTGTGTGACTTGTGCCTTAGTGTCCTTCCTGTGCATCCCTTCTCTCCACTCGGTCCCTCATCACCTGTCTCTTGCCTGGGCTATTGAAATAATCTCCCACTTGCCTCAAGCCCCTCTCGCCCTCCTATCCTCCATAGCTGCCAGCGAACATTCCTCCTTAAAATTCCCCTCGGCTCTCTGTTACCTTAGGATAAAATAGAAACTCCTCCCCCTGGCATCTAAAAAAAGGGCTCCCCCCTTTTCCATACTTTTTTCACATTGCTTCCCATAGTGCATTCTCCTGGATATCCCAAGCCAGCCAGCCTCAACGGGGCAAGTCCTCGCCCACGTCCAGGCCTGGGGTGCCCTTCCTCTTCACCTTAGTGTCTGAGAAACCCCAGCTGCCTTCGAGGCTCCCCTCAGGAGGTGTTGTGATGGAAACTAAGGTAAACTGAGGCACAAAGTTCCAAGCACATTCTTTTTTTATATCTTTTTTTTTCATTTTTTTCATTAATTTATTTTGATTTATCAACAATCCCTTCCATATGCTTTTCAGTTTTAAATTTTTCTCCCCATCCCTCCCTAAGATGGCGCACAATCTGATATAGGCTATATATTTATATTCCTATTAAACATATTTTCATATTAGTCACGTTGTAAGAATTAGAACTAATAGGAGGAACCACCAGAAGGAGGAAACAAAACTCAACAGAACAAAAAAACCCAGCAAATAGTCTGCTTCGATCTGCATTCAGACTCCATAGTTCTGTCTTTGGATGTGGAGAGCATTTTCCAGCATGAGGCCTTTGGAGATGTCTTAGATCCCTGTATTGCTGGGAAGGATTAAGTCTATCAATATGAGTCATCACACAGCGTGGCTGTTACTGTGGACAGTGTTCTCCTGGTTCTGCTCCCTTCACTCAGCGTCAGACCGTACAAGTCCTTCCAGGTTTTTCTGAAGTCGGCCTGCTCATCACTTCTCAGAGCACAGTAGCATTCCATTCCATTCATACACCACAGCTTGCTCGGCCATTCCCCATGGATGGGCATCCTCTCCATGTCCAGTCCTTGGCCACCACAGAAAGGGCTGCTGTGGATATTTTTGCACGCGTGGGTCCTTCTCCCATCTGTGTGATCTCTCTGGGACGCAGCCCTGGAAGAAGCGCATTCATTTTATTGGCAAGGCTGTCTTCCTGCTCAGCCATGGCTGACTCTGCACGACCCCACTTGGGGTTCCCTTGGCAGACATACTTATTGGAGTGCTTTGCCATTTCCTTTTCCAGGTCATTTTACAGATGAGGAAACTGAGGCAAAGAGGGTGAAGTGACTTGCCCAGGGTCACACAGCTAGACGTGTCTGAGACTGAATTTGAACTCAGGAAGAGGAGTCTTTCTGACTCTAGGCCTGGAGCTCTGGGCGTTATGGCACTTCCTACATGGTAAGGCTGGCAGTTACCACTAAAAAGAGTCAGTCAGAAGACCAGAAGGCTTCCGAGCCTTCCTGGAGCTTGGTGAAGTAGAGGTGAACAATCCCGTAGCCTGCCTGCTTACAGAGGCCAAGGTGTCCACAACGATGATAATGAGGAGGAGGAGGAGGAGGACAGTCTGATTGGCCGGATGGCAGCAGCCCCACCTTGGCCTCGTGGTAATGCAGCTCGTGGTCATGTCCACCTGCATGGGGAGGGGAGAGTCTCAGGGCAGCCAGCCAGACTTCCTGGCGCCCGCCCGCATGGGGCAGGGCTCAGCAGAAGAGAAGAGAGCTCCCCTCCTTGTGTGGGCAGCAAGATGAGGGTGACTCTTTTTTGGAATTCCGGTGACTGTGAGACAGCTCAGCTCAGAGAGGAAGGCTGACCTCGTGAGGGGGGCTCAGGCAACTTGACGCCACATTGGGGCGATGCCGAGTAGAATCAGCTACAAAATGGAACCCGCATCACTGGCTTTCCCCGGGGCCCTCTCTCCTTCAGATGAGCCCCTGGTGTCTCTCCAACCCCACGCGGTCCTCCAGGCTCTTTAGGGACGCAATCCCCGGGCACCCAGCACCACCCTCTGCGCCTTCTGCGCGTGGTAGAGGAGGTACTGTGGATGGTGCCTTAGCCTGGAGGAACTTCAGAGCCAGGCTCAGACCCTGTAGCCAAGTAACCCTGGGCAAATGGCTTCACTGTGGTCGGCCTCAGTTTCCTCATCTGTAAAATGGAGGTAATAATGTCCCCCCCCCCCCAGGTTGTGTGAGGCTTAAGTGAGGTAATCTTTGTAAAGTGCTCCTTATCAATGCTGGCTATTATTATCAGGATGAATGAATGAAAAGGCATTTAGTGAGCGCCTCCTGAGTGCTCAGCTGGAGAGCCATGAGGCCAAGGCCAGTCAGTCTCTGCCCTGGTGGAGTGCTTGGAAAGGCCCTGTGGCCGCCCATGGGGTCATTTCCATTGCGCCAGCCTGGCTGGTATTGGAGGTTGAACCATTGGGCAGCATCTTGAGAGAAGGGAATTTCTTCTTGCGGTCCCCAGGGGCTGTGGCTGCTTAGGGGCCAATCTCTTGTAGGCTCATAATCCTGGGTCCCACTTACTGTGTGGGACTCTTTCCCCTCTGCACCTCGGGCCCCTCCTCTATAAACAGAACCAATAATCCCTGGAGCATCTGCCCCACCCCCAAGGGGGTCTCTGGAAAGTGATGAGGAAGGTGCCAGGGCATGTCCAGCTGCCTTGGAGATGGGGGAGCCAAGGCCCAGAGGGAACAGGGTCTGCCTCTGTCACCCAGTGAGGGGCAGAGCCAGCTGTCCCCAGGCCCAGGGCTCTGCATCCTGGCTGAGGCCTCCCCTTTCCCTGCCCTGAGCTACAAGGAAACGTTGACTTCCTGCTGGGGACAGCCTGGGCCTTCTGGTTCCTCCCATATGTATGTCCCTGCCCAGCCCAGAGCAGTGCCCAACCCAAGTCTGCAGCCACGCCCAGGTAGCTCCAGGGCCACAGGGCACCACAGCTGGAGGTCAGTCCCTGCACAGAGCAGGAACATGACATCTGGGCTGGGGAGAGGCCTGTGGAGCTTGCCTGAGCGCCGGTAAGGCTCTGCCCAGTCAGAGGGCACCGGGGGCTTCGGGGCCGCGAGGATCCCCGCCCACTTCTTCGGCTGCAGTTTCACTTCTGGGGTGCTGGGAGTCTTGGCTCTGTGGCAGTGGCGGCTAATGTCTAAGTTTTCTGTAGGGGTGATGCAAGAATGCTGGCCTGGGACAGAGGACAAACAAGGAAGTATAGAAAAGAAGCAGGTTGCCTCGCTGTCCCTCGGCTTCTGGGGCGGGGGAGGAGGGGTCGCCCATCCCCGTCTGTCCCCTGACTCCTTGTCCCCGGCTGCTTCCAGGAGGCCCTGCTTCAGGGAACTTTCCTGGGAGTGGCTTCTCGCTTCACTCCCTCCCTGAAGAGGGGCCTTCTCAGTTGGGGTGGGGCATTGGGGTGGGCAAGAATGAAAGGCATCCTGAGGGCCAGCCCGGAGCTGTGGGGGCTGTTGGCCCTGACTTTCATCAAGGAAGCCCAGGGGCCTGAGCCCAAGCAGAAGCAGGGTGTGGGGCGTTGTGGAGCCCACAAGACTGGGCCCTGGGTTGGGGGAAGGTCCAAACACGAACCTAGAACTGGCCCTACTCCGTACTGGGGAGCCCCCGTGGACTGGGTTCTGCGATGAAGGGATACAGGCATGGCCCAAGAGCTGTCCCCACCCTCCACTGGGAAGCCCCCCAGGACTGGACCTTGGGATGGGGGGGCAGGCACTGTCCTAGAGCTGGCCCCACCCTGCACTGAGGAGCCCCCCAGGACTGGACCTTGGGATGGGGGGGCAGGCACTGTCCTAGAGGCGGCCCTGCCGTGCACCGGCTCCCATCCACCTCAGCTTCTCCTCTCCAGGCCTGCCACAGCTGAGTTCCCTTCCTCTTCGACTGCTGCGCTCCAAAGGCCATCTCCTCCCCATCATGTTCGGTGCCTGACGCTTCCTTGCAGTGTTCTTTCTGTGTTCCCAGGTCCTTGCCAGCTCTGAGGCCTGGTGCCTTGTCTTTGTGTTGGGTCTCGTCCCTCTGACCCTCTGCTCTGCTCCTGGGGCTCTCCCCTTCCTGGGCTTTCTGGGCTCCAGGTTCTTGGGCTGGCTTGGAAGCCTGGCCCCAGGACTCTGGAGCTGAGGGGCTTTGGGAGGGCTCAGTCTCATCCTGTGCGGGGGCAGACTCTGAGAGAAGCCGCTGCTGCTGGCCAGATTGACCTAGAAAACGACACATTCATGTTATCTGATTCATGTTGTGTTTTTACTTGTTGGGGTAAATACTTCCCTGCGCATTTGGGCAGGGATCGTGACCCCTCAGCTGCAGGCCTTGCATGGCCCCAGGGCTGCTGGGGGAGTCACTTCTCTGCCACGTGAGGGGGCCAGATTCAAGGATCCCTGAGGTGCTCCCTGACTCCCCATCCCGTGTCCATTTTAGAGGTGAGACAACAGAGGCCAAGAAAGGGGGAAATTGTTTCATTGGTTCAACATTTATTGCCTGTAGTATATCAGAGCCTGAGTGCTGTACTAGCCAGGACACTTATTAATTTCTTATAGCACAATAGTATTCCATTACATTCATATACCACAACTTGCTCAGCCATTCCCCCAATTGCTGGGCACCCTCTCAATTTCCAGTTCTTTGCCATCTCTGGCTCCACAAAGTCCTTTTTCCATAGCTTCCTGATGCAGGTCAGTAGTACAGGGGTCACCCCACCTCCTAGGTGAGGAGACAGACGCAGAGAAATCCAGTGACTCATCCGTCATCCAGAAACACACATCTACGTCTGGATTTGAACCCAGGTCTCCAAAGTCCAGGCTCTTGTCCTGCCCTCTATACAGAGCCTAAGGCTCTCCAGAAGGGCTGGGAGGGGGCAGCATCTCCCAGACTCTTAGAGCTCAGTGATGCCAGCTCTGCGTTGAGAGGAAACTGAGGGCCACAGAGGTGCAGGGGGCCCTGGTCACCGGGTCGTAGAGCTTCTCAGCCCAGCTCCTTCCCCAGTTGGGAGGCCTGCCCACCATGGCGACCCTCCGAGCCCATCCCCACTGATGTTGGAGGGTCACAGCCTGTGGGAGGGTCGCAGCCTGCAGGAGGGTCGCAGCAGGGAGGCGCTGGGTCCCGACTGGGCTCCGACTGGGCTATGGGCACGCGGGAGGAAATGGACATTGGCTTCAGGTCCCTGCCTTGGGGCTGATGTGCTGTGAGAGGGCAGGGGGGTCCCCAGACTCCCCTGAGGAGGTCACAGACGGGAGCAGGGAGGAAGGCCCCGCCCTGGCTGGCCACCACCAGCTTCCCTGCCCCTGTCCCGCGGGCACACTCTGCTGCCTGACATGTTGATGCCTGCTTTCCTACAGAGTCGTCCGTTTCTGCCCAGCGTGCCGGGGGGAGGTAAAGCCAACCTTCCACTTCTGCCCGTTCTGTGGAGACCTCTTGCCAGATAAGGATGCTCCAGGGGACGGAAGCTCTCCAGAGGAACATGGGACCGCAGGAAAAGGTACTGCTGCTGGGCTGTGGGCCCCCCAAGGTCATCTTGACCGGTCTCCATCCAGGCCAGGCCTTGCAGAACTCTGGGCTCAGAGGGACAGTCATGTCCAAAGTCTTGCTGTGTGTGGAGGCGCAGGTCTGAGCTGGAACGGTCCTCAGGAGTCCTTGCCCTAAAAGCAGATACTGCATAGCGGAGTGGGGCTGGCCTGCAAAAACAGGGGTTCATGGATGTAGGGGCCGTGGAGGGACAGGACCAGAAATGTGGAAAGCAGAGCGAGGTTGGTTGAATTCAGCAGCGAGGGTGGCTCTCCTGCTGGGGCACAGTCACCCCATTCAGGGAGGGAGCCGGAGCAGAACAGGAATGGAGTGAAGGCTGACTGGTCAAGGTCCCTCTGGCTGGGGTTTGAGGCTGATCTTGTTCAGATTCGTTTGTCCACTGAACCCCGGACACTGCCATTCGGCCAGTTCTCAGAATCAGTGTGCAAAACAGGACGTAAGTATGGACCCCTTCGTTTCAAGCAGGAAGCAGGTCAAGGGGTTGGGGGCGGAGTATTAGCAGGTGACAGCACGGCCAAGTCAGGACGCACAAGGCCAACCTGCTCATTTTTTTTTAAAGGGAAAGGATAACTTATTTTTTTTAAATTTATTTTATTAATTTATTTTGATTTATCAACAATCACTTCCATATGCTTTTGAGTTGAGAATTTTTCTCCCCCTTCCTCCCCACCACCCTCCCCAAGATGGCACACACTCTGATATAGGCTTTACATTTACATACCCATTAAACATATTTTCATTAGTGGTGTTGTAAGTAAAAATTAAAACCAATAGGAGGAACCATCAGAAAGAGGAAACAAAACTCAACAGAAGAGAAAAAAAATAGCAATTCAACTTCCCTAGTTCTTTATTTGGATGTGGATAGCATTTTCCATCATGAGGCCTCTAGAGATGTCTTAGATCCTTGTAATGCTGAGAAGGGCCCAGTTTAACAATATTAGTCATTGCATAACGTGGCTGTTATTGTGTACAAGGTCCTCTTGGTTCTGCTCCCTTCACTCAGCATCAGACCATATAAGTCTTTCCAGGTTTTTCTGAAGTCAGCCTGTTCATCATTTCTTATAGCACAATAGTATTCCATTACATGCATACACCACAGCTTGTTCAGCCATTCCCCAATGGATGGGCATCCCCTCAATTTCCAATTCTTTGCCACCACAAAAAGAGCTGCTATGAATATTTTTGTACATGTGGGTCCTTTTCTCATTTGTTTGATCTCTCTGGGATATAGCCCTAGAAGTGCTATTGCTGGGTCAAAGGGTATGCACACTTTTATAGCCCTTTGGGCATAGTTCCAAATTGTTCTCTAAAATCAATCTGCTCATTTTACAGATGAAGAAACGGGGCGGGGAAGGGGCAGCTAGGTGGCGCAGTAGATAGAGCACCGGCCCTGGAGTCAGGAGGACCTGAGTTCAAATCCAGCCTTAGACTTTTGACACTTATTAGCTGTGTGACTCTGGGCAAGTCACTTAACCCCATTGCCTAGAAAAAAACAAAAACAAACAAACAAAAAAAGAAACTGAGGCTCAAGGAGCGACCTGTCATAAAGCTAATCGGTGTCCGAGGTAGGATTTGAGCCTGGGTCTCCCTGACTCCAAGGCCTGCCTGTATCCACTGTCCCATGCCGGCCCAGTTCAGGAATCCCCACTGCAGCCACAGAGCTAGAAGGCATCATAGCAGGCGTTTGGTCCAGCCTCCAAGCCTTCTCACTTGTGAAGGGCCTGGCCTCGAGCACACGCAGCCTAGAGCCCTGCATGCTGACCTGCAGACGCCTTGGAGGCCTCTAATCCATCTCCTTCATTTAGACGGCAGAAATGGTGGTTATGAACCCAGGGATCCTCTGAGTCCCTCAGTAAAAGTTCCCCACAACAGTAGAGACCCTGAGTGTCCCCAAGGAACCTCGTCAGGGCCACTGTCAAGATGGACCTGAGGGAGGGCTGCAGGTAGAGATGGGGGCTCTTCCTGCTCTGCTGCATGAGGCTCTCCCCGGGGTCTGGGGGGCCTCAGGACCAGCTCAGACCTGCCCTTTAGACCTCAGGGGCCCAGCAGTCCCAGGTCAGGAGGGGACCCCAAGGTGCAGCGCTAGGAGGGGCTTCGTGGCCACCGGCCCAACCCCTGCTGTCCACGTGAGGCTCCTCTTACCAGCGGGCTGGGCCGATGACGCGTGGGGCCTTTCCAGCTATGAGTCCAGTGCTCCTTACCAGGGCAGGCACTGTCCTTACATTTACTGCAGTGCTTAGCATACAGTAAGTGCTTAATCAGTGCTGCCCTAGGTTAAGGGGGGAGCCGCCAGGTCTACCCTTCCCTCTTCTCATCTCCTAGCTAAACAGCCTTCATGCCTGCAGCCTCCAGACCCTTTCCATCCTGGGCCCCTCGGGCGTAGACCATAGGCAGGCCAGGGACTGCGTCCCCTGTGTGTTTGTTAGGTCCCGGGTCTAGCAGGCACTCAATCATGCTCAGTGACAGCCCACTAACACTGGGGCTCCGGGCTTCCTAACAGTCATGCATGCTTGGCAGAGAGATGGGGCAGCCAGTTTGGAAAAGACGGCCACTGGACTTTGTGCTATCCAGGGGCTCCTTCCCCCTGCTCCGCCATCTGTCGCAGTGAGCCACTCCTCAGCCTGGCTGCCAGTTTTTCTGGGGTCCCAGGACTGGGCCCCAAGGGCAGCCAGTGTTCCCGTGTGACGTGACTGCATGTGACCCCTTCAGCTCCCAGCTCTGGCTGTGTCTGCTTGGAGGCTTCCCCCCTCCTCCTCCTCACCTCCTGCCTTCGCCAGCTCCCCTCAAGTCCCACATTCATTGCCGTCCCTGCCGTACTGACCTGTGGGGTGCTTCCTTTTGCAGGGTCCCCCCCCCACATACTCAGTCAACTCCAGGGGCTCCCTGTCGCCTCCAGGACCAACACAGAGTCCTCCGCTTGGCATTCAGAGCCCTTCTGGTCTTTGTCCACTTACACCCCCCCCTTGAACTCACCATCCCTCAGCTCAGGGATTGTTGCTCCCTGCTGCTTCTCGGGGCAGTCTGGCCCAGCAGCCCTTCCCTGCCGGCAGTGCCTTCCTTCTGCTGCATCTGCCCCGTTGGGCTGGGGCTCCCAGGGGCCAACACCTGCTTACCTTTCTCTGCATCCTCAGCACTGAGCGTGGCACCTAGCAGTCGTGGGCTGTGACTGGCCACCCGACTCTCCTCACGGTGTGAAAACAGGAGGAGAAGCCCCTTCCCTCTGGCTCTGTGGCCTGGATGTCTGCGGGAGAGCCTGGCTCGGGAGCCGGAGCACCTGTGTCTGGGGATCGGTTGCTGGGTGGCCGTGGCGGAGTCTTCCGGCCTCTCTGGGCCTCGGGGTGGGCCACGTAGCCACTGAGGTCTCTGCTGCTCTGTCCGCAAGCATGAGTTTGAGGGCTTAGTAAAACGCAGAACCTGAGAGCTGGGAGAGACCGTGGTAGGGTGGGGAGAGAGGGGCCTTCCAGTGGAGGATACGGGAGGACGGATGTGGGTGGGCCGCAGGGGATGCCCGCTCTGTGCTGGGTCTGGGGGACGCGCTTGAACCGGCCCTCTGTTCACTGTTCCAGTCCCCCAGAAGAGAGAGGCCCACCGAGACCAAGGAGTCCAGGGGAAGAAAAGAAAGTGGCCCCAGCCCTTCACTTGGCCTCCTTCATCCACTGCAATATCCCAGGAGGCCGCGGAGGAGGAAGCACCGTCCTGCTTCCTGGGGAAGGCCGGAGGTAAGAGCGGGCGCTGCCCGGCCTGATGTGTCCGGCCGAGGAGGCGGAGGGCTCCGTCCTCACTCCCCAGCAAGCTGCAGCTCCCTGCCTGGGCCAGGCTTCCAAGGAGAAGACACATCCAGGGGTCCTTTCTTCCTTGTCTGGTGCCAGATGGGCGGGGGGGGGGGTCCCAGACCGCAGAGGGCCCCATCTGAGGCCTGGTTGTGATGCTTGACGGAGGAGGGGCGGGGAGCGAGTTATAGGGATGTGACAGTGAGGTAACCCGGGAAGGAGGGCAGGGACACGTCCCCAGGCACAGAGCAGCATAGGGCTCTGAACGGAGGCTCAGAGCTGGCCAGGGGAACTTGGAGGGTGAGATGGCGGAGAGACTTTGGATGACAGAAGACCCGAGCTGGGCAGCGCCCGAGCGTGTAGGATGGCCAGGATTCCACGGACGGCGATTTTGGTTTAGTATGAGAGAGGAGAGAGGAAGATGCTCGCCCCGGGGAGGGGAGGGGGCACGGGGAGAGATGGAGGGACAGCAAGCAGGCTGGCCTCGGCGTCTGGCAGCCTCGCTTTGTGACCCCTCCTGATCGGGGGGCCACGGCAGCTTTCCAGGGCGAGGAGTGAGTGACGGCGCCAGCCGGCACCCGGAGGAGGCCTTTCCTCCCTGGCGGCTCCAGAGCCGACGGAGCCGGTGGCCTCGTCCCATCCCATCCGCAACCGAGAGGCTCCTCGTGTGTACCCTGGCGGTGGCCTGCCGCGGGTTGGAGTGAGCATCCTGGCCCCGAACGGCTTTAAGTGCGGTCACCGAGGGGGTCTCTGAGGTGCTGCTCCTGTCTTCCTAAAGGCCAGGACCCCCACCAGAGACAGAAGCCTGTCAAACCACTGTCTCCAGAGTCTTTGGGGACGTCCACGGTCCTGATGGACAAGGATGGCCGGCGCTGGAGGCTGGGGGCGCTGGTGCGCAGCAGCCAGAATGGGATGCTTTTTGAAGGTGCGGCCTGGGGCGGTGCCGAGGGCGGGAGCAGGAGGGATGAGGAAGAAGGAGGGCAAGCAGAGCCCCACAGGGCACCCCTTCAGCCTAAGATGTAGCAAGAGGGCTGGGCCGGGGCCTGGCTGGCCGCAAGCAAGTTAAAGAGAGGAGTGAGGGTGGGAAGGCCATGTCCTTAGAGGCACAGACTCTGGGACTGCAGACGGCCTCCCCCCAATGATGTGACAAGCACAGCACCCAGCCAGCGTTCATCCGTCCTTGGCTCGGTCACTGCCTCCTAGGCCGAGGTGACCTCCTCTGGAAAAAGAGACTTCTGGGGGCAGCTAGGTGGCACAGTGGATAGAGCACCTGCCCTGGAGTCAGGAGGACCCGAGTTCAAATCTGGCCTCAGACACAAAACACTCACTAACTGTGTGACTGTGGGCAAGTCACTTCACCCCATTACCTTGCCCCCTCACAAAAGACTGCTGGAACAGGGAGCTCAGATTGGAGGGAGCTTAGAACAGGGAATGTCAGAGCTGGGAGGGAGCTTAGAACATGGAGTGTCAGGGCTGGCAGGGGCCTTAGAACAGGGCATGTCAGAGCTGGGAGGGAGCTTAGAACATGGAGTGTCAGGGCTGGCAGGGGCCTCAGAACAGGGAATGTCAGAGCTGGGAGGGAGCTTAGAACATGGAGTGTCAGGGCTGGCAGGGGCCTTAGAATAGGGAGTGTCATGGCTGGGATGGCCCTCAGAACAGGGAATGTCAGGGTTGGGAGGGAGCTTAGAACAGGGAATGTCAGAGCTGGGAGGGAGCTTAGAACATGGAATGTCAGGGCTGCCAGGGGCCTCAGAATGTGGAAGTCTAAGATGAAAAGCTTCCCAGCCTCCTCATTGTCCAGGCCAGGGAGGAGAAGCCTGGTTCTTCACTGAGTCCAGGGAAATTCTGGCCCCAGGTGGGCCTTAGCAGGGTTTCCCTGCCAGCCCCGTGCAGGTGGTAACCCAGCATCTTCCCTTCTTTCACAGCCGTATCAGCCTCTGAAACCACCCTTCTGAAGCAAAGATTTTCCCTCAAACTAGTGAGTTATGACATGGGCCCCAGAACGTTGCCCAGCAGGGCTTGAGCTGCTTCAGCAGCTGACCCTCAGGTGGCCGTGTGGGCAGCCAGCACCTGGGACACAGGGTGATTTCTGGCTTGGGAAGAAGTGCCCGCTGGGGGGTCCTGGAGGCGGGTGAGCAGCTAGAGAAGGTAGAGCCACCCAGACCTCCAAGGCAGCTTCCACCAAGCCTCCCAGCCTGGATGGGAGTCTTCCAGCTGTGATCTCAGAGGGCACCCCTGCTTAGGGCAAGGGGAAAGTGGCTTGAAAAGCTCAGAAGTGTCTTCTTAGACTGAGCCCAAGTGGGCCACCGTGCTTTCCTCCCGTTCCTTCTCGCCCCTCCTCTGGGGCCAAGCAGAGCACCACTAATTCCTCTCATTCGGTGCTGGCCTTTAGGTTCTTGGAGAGAGCCATCAGGCCCTTCACCCCAAGCCTTCTCTTCTCCAGACTAGGCATCCCAAGGTCCTTCAGCTGGTCCTTCTGTGGCAGGGTCCCCAGCCCTGCCCCTCCTCCACCCCAAATGAACTCAGCAGGCTGGGGTCTGCCCAGGGCAGAATGGCTTCCTAGGAATGGACCCCCGCTAGCCCCCGAGCAGTGGAGCTGGGGACTGCTGGCCAGCCTTGACTAGCCCTTCCCGTGCTCTCCCTCTTCTCGTATCCCACAGCTAGGCCGCACAATGGGTGGGAAGGGGAAGAGCACAGAGACGTCCCTAGCGAAATCAGGGCGGCCTTCCAGATTGCTGCCAGGGGGGATTGTGGGAAAGAGCAGAATGGGCAAGCTGGCGGGCCCTCGGAATGTCAGAGCTGGAAGAACCCTTGGATGTTACCTCGTCCGACCCCCTTATCTTACAGACAAGGAAACTGAGGCCCAGACAGAGGAAGGCACTTACCCAGGGCCCCACAAGGGCCAGCTTTTATATCACCGACAGACGTGGGGAAGGCGCGTGGATTTCTGTGGTTGGGGAGCTCTCATTACTTCAGAGGGTGCCCCATGCAAGGCTTGGGGACAGTCACCTCTCAGACTTTGAACGTAGAGCTTGTGCAGGGCCGGCCAGTGCAGCTGAAGGGGTGTGAGCCTCTGCCGGCATGTCCTCGTGGCCCAGCGGGGTGGAAGCTCCTTCAGGGCCGGGGGGTTTACTTCCCTTTGGCCCTCAGGGCTCCCCTCGGGAGGTGCCTGCTCGGATTGAATTAAAGCAAACGTCTCATGCCCAGCTCTGGAGGAGGGGCCCCATCTGCTCTGTGGAGCATTGGCTGGTCACCCGGTTGACTTCATTAGGGAGTCTTAAGAGCTGGAAGGGAGCCTCGAGGTCACCTGCCCAGGGGATGAAGCTCCTTCATCATGGAAAGTTATCAAGCCCCTGCTCAAATACTTGTGGTCACGAGTAACTCACTACCTTCCCGAGCTGCCCAGCTCTGTCTGTGACCCTTGTGCTGTCTTCCCATTGCTCCTGGCTCTGCTCTCTGGGACCAAGGAGAGTGACTAATTCCTGTTGTCTGTGACGGGCGCCTCAGACACTTGAAGACAGCTACCGTATTCCCCCAAGCCTGAGCATCCCCAGTCCTCCCGTGAGCCCTCAGGGTGCCCTGGGGTCTCCTCAGCCAGACAGCCCTGCCCTGGGCACCTCCCCTAAAGTGGGCACGAAGGCTTGTTAGGGTGGGAGGGCCAGTGGCGGGTCCCCTTCCCTACAAGCCTGAGGGCTCAGACAGGTGTCCTACCTCCCACATGCCCCCCTGGCCCTCTCCAGCTCTCTCTCTCTCTCTTCTCTCTCTCTCTCTCTCTCTCTCTCTCTCTCTCTCTCTCTCTGTCTCCCCCCCCCATCTCAATCTCTCTCTCTCTTTCTACAGGACTTGAAGAGTGGACGCCTCTTCCACGAACAGAACTTCTTCCAGAGAGCAGTGAAAGAGAAAGAAGGTACCCCTGGAGGGAGGAGAAGCAAGGGTTCCTCCCCTGTCCTTGCACCGGCCCTCCTTGTAGTCTGTAGACAGCACGGCCAGCTTCTCCCAGGAAGCCCCTGATGCCTCCCGCTGTCCTTAAGTGGGATAAGCTCTGAGGACAGCAAGGCCAGAGGCTCTCCAAGCTTGGGAAGGCTTTCCTATCCAGTCTTCCTTCGGATCCCGACAGCTAGTCTGGGAGTAGAAGTTCTGTTGTTCCCATTTTGTGAAGGAGAAAACCAAGGCTCATAGAGGCAATGGGTCTTGTTCAAGGTCAAAGAACTCAGATTCCGTCTCAGGCCTCGTGCTTCTTTCTGCCTCACCCTCCTGGCCTGGGGCTTACGAGGGAGCTGGGCCCAGGGTCAGGCCAGAGAGGACAGGCCTGCAGCTGAGGTCCTGTCTGAGGGAGGCCCAAGGCTGGCCCAGGGCGGCCGTGGCAGCCCAAGTCAGGGCCTCTTTCTCTTCTCCCACAGTGAACAAATGGAAAAAGTCGCATTTCGTGCCCTTCTTGGCCATCCCAGCCTGCATCAGCTTTGGCCTGCACCACGACACCCATAGGTGAGCCTTTTTTCTACTCCCGCCTCCTCATTTCCCAGGGCTGCACTGATTGGCTCAGCCCTTGGTCCTGCTCCAGGCCTAAGGGAGCACCTTCATCCTAGCTGCCCTGATGTTGCCAGAGCGTTGGGTGGGATGAACCTTAGAGAGATGGCTGAATTCCACCCCCTCAGTTTCTGCTGGGGAAGCTGAAGGAGCTGTCCAGGGTGAGTCACTTTGTGCCTCAGCCTTGGTGGGCAGGCGTGGGTCAGACAGAGACCGTCGGAGACCGCCACTTCTGGCTGAGAGCTCCCCTCCCTTCCTGCGCTGTTCCCGAAGGGGTTGTTGGCCCCCACCTCTCCCTGTGCTGGGGTCCCAGCCCTGCTACTTCAGCTCCTGTGCCCCTCAGGTTCCTGGTATTCCCTGACCTGGGAAGAAGCCTTCAGTCCATCCTGGATGACCGCCCCAACAACGTCCTGACAGAGAAGACTGTGTTCCATCTCTTGTTCAGACTGGTGCGTTGTACAGAAGAACTTCCCGCTAGGGCAAGGGTGGCCTAGACTTGAGCTCTGGAGTTGGCAGAGGCCGAATCCAGCAGCCTCATTTTACAGATGGGGAAACTGAGGCCCAGAGAGGGGGAGTGGCTCTTCTGACAGTGTAGACGCCTGAAGTTGGTCAGCTCGTTGACTTTCCCAGCTCATACAGAGCTGGGCATGACCATCCCATCTAGCCCTACCTGAGCAAAGACTCTGTGATAGGTGAGGTGACCGATCTCGTGAAGACCTTCAGTGAGGAGGAGCTCATCACTTCCCAGACCCATTCCACTCTAGGACAGGGCAAAGATGACTGTATACGGAATAAATAGAAAGGCATTGGGAGGGGGGCGTAGCCACCTGTGAGTTCCTTGGGGTAGGCCTTAAAGTTTGAGTGGGAATGGGACTGGGGGGGTGAGGGAGTGGTGAGCCCTCCCGGGAAGTGATGGCCTTGGGCCAGATGTTGGGCAGGCCCCACTTACCCATGGCTTCCTAGGGGCGAGCGAGCCACGATTGTCATGTCGGGGGTGGGGAGTTTGGAAGGCAGGTGTCACACAATGTTGGCAGGAAGTGAAGATGAGCAGCTCAGCCCAGAGATACCGGATGGCTCTGGGGCCCCAGGCAGGCGTGGCCCCTGGCTCCCATTGGCTCAGAGCTGAGCTGAGGGAAAGGGCGGCCACATTTAAAATGGTGCCCGTGGCTCAGCCGGGCAGCTGATCTGGTGATCTGGGCCCTTCTCGTCTCCCCAGGTGGATGCACTGGAATTCATCCATGAGAATGAGTACGTTCACGGGAACATCTCAGCAGAGAATATATTTGTGAATCCTGACACCCTTGGCCAGGTAGGGTGCAGGCGATCCCAGCAGCCAGGGTGGGGATCCAGACACCAGTCTTCGGCCGAAGGGGCGGCCACCGCGCCCTGCTCCAAGGGGGCGCCGCCTGATTTCAGTGGAGCTGAAAACGGCCCTTCTTCTGCGGCCCCCCCGCCACTCCCGCTCCTGTCCTCTGCGCTGTTGTTCAGCCGTTTTAGTCACGTTCGACTCCGTGATCCCATTTGGGGTTTTCTTGTCAGAGGTCCTGGAGGGGTTTGCCCTTTCGTTCTCCAGCTTGCTTTACAGATGAGGAAGCTGAGGCAGACAGGGCAAAGTGACTTGCCTAGGGTCACGCAGCTAGGAAGCATCTGAGGCTTGAACTTGGGTCTTCTTGACTCCAGGCCTGGTGCTCTGTGCGCCACCTAGCGGCCCCAATCTAGCTGCCCTCTGGGTGCAGCCTTCCTATACGCTGTACACGAGGGCCTTGGGAGTCCTTGAGGACAGTTCTCTCGTCCCCACGTGGCCTGTCTCCATCCCTTCATGCTCCTGGGCACTTGGCTCTGCATTCAGTCAGTGGGGAGAGCCCCGGCCGTGGAGCTCCGGCACCTGCTTTCAGATCTTCCTTCTGACACTTAGTAGCTGGGTGATCTTGGACCAGTCGCTTCCCTGCCTGGCCCTCAGTCTCCTCCTCCAGAACACCAGCAGGCTGGGCTTGACAGCCTCTGAGTCCCAGCTCTGACCCGTGACCCTCTCGCGCTCTTCCTGGAGTGCAGCGCCCGCTATTCTAGATGCAGCGTGGCGGTCGGCCCATTGGCCTCCTGGTTCTGGCAGCGGGATTCTCGCCAGCAGCTCTGGAGTGCCAGTTGGGCACCTGGCAGTACGTGGACACTGACTAACCCTGCCCTTGCCATCCACTGAGACCCCCAGAGCTTTTTCAGAAAACCCGTGTTCTGGCCACACCTCCTCCCGTCCTGTATCCAGGACTGGATTTTCAAGCACAAGGGTCAGACTCGACATTCTTCCATGTTCAGTTTCATCTCACTGGATGGGACTCAGTGTTCTAGTCAGTCAAGGGCTTTTTCAGTTTGGATTCAAGCATCTAGACAGTCACAAGCAATTACTGAACACCTGCTGTGTGCACGCCCTGCCAACAAATGAATGAAAAAGTGTTTATGAAGTGTTTACTAGGGAATTGGGAAGACCCATCTTCATGAACTCAAATCTGGCCTCAGACACTTCCTAGCTGTGTGACCCTGGGCAAGTCACTTCCTCCTGTTTGCCTCGGTGTCCTCATCTGTAAAATGAGCTGGAGAAGGAAAGGCAAACCACTCCTGTATCTTTGCCAAGAAAACCCCAAATGGGGTCACGGAGAGCTGGGACACAACTGAAAAAAGTGACTGAACAAAAACACCAGTGGGCCAGATGCTTTGTGAGGTGCTGAGGATACACATGGAAATACAAAACCATGCCTGCACCCGAGAGGTCTGCATTCTGACCCCTGGGGGAAGGTGACCCACGTGTATCTGACCGGACTCCTGCCTTGCTAAGAAATGAGACCCTCGTCTCTGCTCTGGGCATCCTCTTTGGCCGTCCCTGGGCCTGGAACACTCCCCCTCCTCTGCTCCTACCACTGACCTCCCTGGCTCCCTTTAGGTCCCAGCTAACATCTCACCCTCTACAGGAGGCTTCCCTAACCCATCTTAAGTCCACTTCTTTCCCTCTTTAAATTATTTCCCAGTTATCCTGCATGCACTTTGCTTTTTATAGATTTGGTTGCACGTTGTCTTCCCCATTCGATTGTAATTTTCTTGAGGGCAGGACCTCTCTTCTTCCTCTTTTTGTATCCCCAGGGCTCACTCAGTAAATGTTTAGTGATTGATGATTTCTTGAATGTACCTGACGTAACAGGCACTGTTTTGGACGTGGCTTTCAGGTAGGGCAGTGATTCTTCAGTTCTCTCTCCTTGCTCTGTTTTTCAGATCAGTTCTCTTAGTATGAAATGCCGTGCATTTCCTCCCATTCTGTTTAGCCTTTTCCCTTTGTTTTAACGTTTCTGGTTGTGTCATGGAATCATTACCTTCTTTCGGACTCATTCTGATTTTCGAGGAGTCCTTGCTTGGGTAGGGCTTAAGCCAAGCTCTTAGTTCTCTTTCTACAGCTCCCATTTCTTTTCCAGTGGCTTCCTCTTGTGCTCTTATTTCATGCATACCATTCTCTAACTCTTGCATCCTTTCTTCTGGATTTTAGTTGATCTTGTGGCTTTGCTCTGAAGCCTTGCTTAGAGGTGATTTGGAGTCATTGTCTTGGCCATTCCTGGCAGCAGAATAGATCTTTATCTCTTTTGTTCATCCATCTTATCTCCCGGGTTGGTACTTTGTGTAAAGGCCTTAGTCCGGGCATTTCTGGTGGGACTCTCATGGCTTTATATGGTTCTGGCCCATCTTGTCTGGACTCCTTCCATATGTTCCTCAAGGGTCACAGGGACAGTTCAAGGCAGAGAGTTACAAATGTTCAGGGTCCTGTGCAGTCTGATCGTCACCCTCCTGGGCCATCAGACCCTGGTTTGTGTCTAGGCAACACAGCTGTGGACCTGCCCCCGGTGGCACCACAGTAGATGGTCTTTGGCCCCAGCTCCTGCAGCTGCCTGGAAGGCTGAGCACGTTTACAGTGACTCTGTGGGGCCGGGGGAGGGGAGAGAAGTGCTGCTAGCCTGGACCAGTAGTGTAAGTGCCCTGTGCTCTGAAATCATGAGGCCAGACCAAAGAGAAATGTACCAGGTGCTGGCTGGGTGCTGGAGACAGGCAGACAAAAATGAACCAGCTCCTCTTCTCAGAATTCCATATCCCAGGGCAGCTAGGTGGTGAAGTGGATAGAGCTCTGGTCCTGGAGTCAGGAGGACCCAAGTACAAATCCAGCCTCAGATACTTGACACCTACTAGCTGTGTGACCCTGGGCAAGTCACTTGACCCCAGTTGTCTCACCAAAAAAGCAAAAAAAAGAATCCTACATCCTGCTGGTTCTAATATTCTTTCTTATTCCGAGGGGCTGTTGCCCAGTGGTGACATGGGAGAAAATGGCCCTTGAGGGCCGTCTTTGCTCTGGGATTCTGGGCAGAGAGGGCACTCGGACTGGGTAGGAGGGTGGATGAGATGAGCTCAAGGCCCGTTTCATCTCTTAGGAATCTATGATCTTTAATCCTGGATGGGTTTTGAGTACCCACAGCCTCCCATACCATCTTTTTTAGGTCACCCTGGCCGGCTACAGCTTCGTGTTCCGATACTGCCCAGGGGGCAAACACGTGGCGTACGTGGAGCAGAAAAGAGCCACTCACCAAGGACCGCTTGAGTTCATCAGCTTGGACCTGCACAAGGGCGTAGGTGAGAAGCCTGGCGAGGTAGAGGAGCCCACAAAGGATTTCTGCTACGGCCTTCTTTCCACCTCCTGCCATCTTGGGCAGGCTTGGGCCATAGAGTTGCTGGGATGGGTCCCTACTAATACAGTCTAATATTGCCAAAGCCCCAGAGCTCAGAAGTCCAGGAGGGAGGTATAGTCTGAGGATAGGAGTGTGTGGGCAGGCAAGAAGACTTACTGTGTGACCCTGAACGAGTCACTTCTTCTCTGGGCTTCTGTCGCATGGCTTGGACAAGATCACAGAGTTTCAGTGATGGAGACCTTAGAGGCCACCTGCTCTGATCCAGGCTGGAATGAGAGACACCAAGGGAGGGGGAGTGCCTTCCTCCTGGGATGGCTCAGAGATGGCTCAGACTCCTAGGAGCCTGGACCCACTGCTCTACCATGGTTTCATGTTCTGGGCTACGCACAGCCAATGTAATCTGTCTTCCATGTGACTATCCTTCATGTACGTGAGGAAAGCTAGCATCTTCCCAATAAGTCTTTTTCTTCTCCCCCTCCCCTCCTCTCCCTTCCCCTCCCCTCCTCTGCCCTCCCCTCCTCTTCTCTCCTCCATTCTCCTCCCCTCTCCGTTCTTCTCCGTTTTCCCTCTGGACCTGTGATTTCACCAGTTTGGGGAACTCTCCATAAAATATCCTCGCTGACATTGCTCAGCATCTTCCTTATAGCTTGTAGCTTAGCAGGCACCCAGGAACCACTGAAAGGTTGGGATACTTGCTTGTGATCACACTGGTGTGGGTCAGAGGCCAGACTCTGGCCATCCTGACTCCAAGGACACTGACTCCCGAGTCTTTTCTTCAGCCAACAACCATCCTCATTGCTTTCAGCTTTTCTTTATATGGTGTTACCTCAAAAGCCTTTCACTGCGTTTGATTTTTTGGCCACCATACTGTATTTCTACTCCAAGAAATTCTCCATATCTTTTTCAGATTAACTAGATGAACTTTTTTTTTTCTAATTTTTTATTTTTTATTTTTAGGCAATTGAGGTTAAATGACTTGCCCAGGGTCACACAGCTAGTTAAGTGTCAAGTGTTTGGTCTGAGGCTGGATTTGAACTCAGGTCCTCCTAACTTTAGGGCCGGTGCTTGATTCACTGTGCCATACACTAACTTTTTTTGCCAGCCATCTTGCCCCATCTTTGTCCCATCTTGTACTTGTGAAAATGACTTCTTGGACCTGAGTGTTGGCTTTACATTTATCCCTGTTAAATTTCTTGTTATTAGAGTCTACCCAAAATTCTAACCCATCAAGATCTTTTTGGATCCCAGCTCTCCCATTTGGCTTGTTTTCTTTCCCTCCCAGCTTTGTGACTTCTGCAGATTGGATAAGTGTGCTGTCTGTGCCGTTGTCCACATTATTTATAAAAATGGTAAGCAGTGACGGGCTATGCTCAGATCCCTCGCGCGTTCCACTGTGGGCTTTCCATGTTGACATCTGATCATTATTGACTACATTTTGGATCCAGCCTTTCAGCCCCTGCCAAATCCACTCACTTGTCTCTCTTCATCTTTTCCACAAGAATGAAATGAAGAAATTTGTCAAATGTTTTGCCAAAACCTTCATAAACTACATATACAACAGCCCCACAATCTGTGAGTCTTAGAACCCTGTCTAAAAGAAAACAAAGTTAAAAGACTCCTGATGGAAAATGCCATCCACATCCAGAGAAAGAATTGTGGAGTCTGAATGCAGATGGAATCATGCTATTTGCTCTCCTTGTCTTTTGTTGTTTTGTTTTATTGCTTCATTCTCATGTTTCCTCCCATCAGTTCTAATTCTTCTTTACATCGTGACTAATGGGAAATATGCTTAATATGAATGTCTGCATAGAGCCTATTTCAGATTACACACCATCTTGGGTGGGGGGGGGAGAGTAGAATGGGGGAGAAAATTTAAAACTCAAAATCTTATGGAAATGAATGTTGAAAACTAAAAAGAAATTAATTATTTAAAATAAAATAAATTGTAAAAAAAGAAAACATGGTTAGTGTGCCATGCTTTAGGCCAAGCCTTGGTATCTCTTAGTGACCTCCTCTTCCCTTCTTCCCACCCAGCCATTTAACAAGACAACCTGGAATCTTTCCAGCATTCCAAGTGAAGCTCCTTTGCTTATCATTTTGAAGATTCCATTTTCTTCCCTTTGTTGACAGTTGGGGCATTTGCCCTTCCTCTGCTGTTCACTGTCTTCTTCTCCACCTTCTCTGGTCTCTCAGAGGTCTCTGACAGTGAATCAGCAGTCAATCTCCACATTCTTTCAGTGCCCGAGACTACAGTTCATCAAGGCCGGTGGTCTGAAGTCCTCAGAGGTGACTAGTTAGCGGCCCTCCTTCATGCTCTCTCAGCCTCTGTCCTAAGGTAGCCCTTTACTCACCCCCTGGTAGAGGTCCACATGGGTCTCTAAGGACCCTCCCATTTCTAAAACTGCCATCTTGCATAAGTCCTTCCTCTCTGTGTAGAAGGAGGGGGTAGGACTAAGTGACCTCTGCACTCTCTTGCATTTGTAAAGCTTTGTGACCTTAGGCAAGTCTGGTTTTGGACTTCCATTTCTTCTTCTTCTTGACAAATAAGATCTCTGATTGTCCTCTAGCTCTAAAACATCAGATCTCGGTTCTGTGACTGATTTGTTGTATAACATGAATAAATCTCCCTGCCTCTCTCTCTCTCTGAGCCTCAGTTTCTCCATCTCTAAAATGGAGGATATAGATGACATAATCTCTGAGGACCCTTCCAGCTCTAAGCTGATTCTGTGCTGTTCAAGCCTAGCTTCTTGATCTCTCTAGGCCCTAGTTTCGGGGCTTGGACGTGGACGGCCCTAGTTTCAGGGCTAGGACACCATCAGCCTGTGGTCCTAGATCATGAGATGATGCCCCACTCTGCCTCCCAGACCACAGAATGGAATGGAACGTGTTGGCCAAAAAGCACGTTCAGGCCCCAGCTCCGGCCTTGGGCCGAGCTCAGCCTCAGCTCAGCTCCTCAGGGTCCTCATGCATAACACGGAGGTGATGCTCCTGGCCGCTTGGTCCTTTGGGTGGTCGTTTGGAAGAAAGAGCTTTGCCAACCTTGATACGCTCTAGAAATAGCAGCTTTGTTGGCCTCTCTGCAGATCCTTCCCGCCGGAGTGACATGCAGGCCCTTGGCTATTGTCTTCTGAAGTGGCTCTACGGGGCCCTGCCCTGGACCGGTCAGCTTCCTGATGCCCAGGCGGTCATGAGGCAGAAGGAGAGGTAAGCTCCAGACACAAGTCCTGTGTTGATGGAGAAGGCGTTCAGGCCCAGGGCAATGGATAGGCCTGGAAATGAGGTGAGTCTGACTTGAGGGAAAGCCATAGATGGGATGGCACCTCAAAGAGGCCGAGAGCTCAGAGAAGAACATAAAATCATTCAACCTAAGAAGGGCTGACCCAGAATATGCGCTGTCAGAGTTGGCTACGATCTTAGGACACAGAACACAGAATGTCGGTGCTAGAGGCACAGAGGTCAGAGCCAGAAGGTACAAGAAGAAGTTGTATCAGCAATTTTAAGATGGCATTAGATCGGTAGATGCAGATAATGCCCATTAATAAAATTCAATATCGGGGTGTGTGTGTGTGTGTATTTTAAACCACTAAAAAGCAAAGTAATGAAGGGTTGTTCTGTAGTGTTTAGACAAAAGCATTTCGAGATCGAGAATTTTATAAAATAGGAACATTAGAGCAGGGCTTCTTAACTGGTAGTGCATGAATTTGTTTTTCTTTAATGTATTGTGATAGCTGAATTTCAATGTAATTGGTTTCCCTTGTAATCCTTTGCCTTTATTTTGTACACTTAAACACTTTATTTATAAATTTAAACACCTCTAATGCATATGTATCTCCCTGTTTGATGCCTCACTTCAGGCTGATAATCAGAAGGTTATTGAACACTCTTTGCCTTCGTTATGACTTTTAAGAAACCTTGAACAACTTCAGAATATGTGTGAGACATCTCAGGGAAATGACAAGCGCCTCTTGGCCACGCTGGGCTAGAGCGGGATGGACAGCCCGTAAAGCTGGCCCTTTTGGTGTTTATATGTCATGGACAGTGAACTGGGCCCAGAACTGGAGAGGAGGAGAACAGGGTGAATGAAGAAGAATTGATGAAGGGCCAGTCATTATGTGCCCAGCCCGGGGCTAAGTGCTGAGATACAGATAGAGAAAGGAAGATGGTTCCTACTGTCAGGTGTTCTCAAAGGCCCCTGAAGTGGGGTGGACAGCCTGTAAAAGAGGACAGATGAAAAGCTCCACAAGTCCCCCCCAGATTAGCACCAGGGCTGAAGACAAGGCCCGGGGTGGATGAGGAGGTTAGATGCCAGTGCCTGAGGGTCTGAAGGGGGTGTAGGCAAGGCCAATGGTGGGGCAAGGCCCCTCAATAGAAAGATTAGAATTGTTGACTCCCATCTCATTGTTTTTGGGAAACTGCTCAGTGTTTTTGATGACCCCAAGTTTCTCCCTGAAACAAAGGCCCCTCTTGTTAACATCAGCATTCTTCTGATGATTCTGTATGCTTGGCAAGTCAGAGAATACCACGGTCTCTGAACCATTATTTACAGATGACCCAGAGGGCAGTAGGGAGGCACTTGATGGGCACAGGTAGGCTGCGGTATGCTTGTAACAGTAACTATATGGGAAAAACAGCTTACAGGGTATCGGAGATCCGTATACCTGGAAAGGAAGGAGCTGTGTCATTTAGCAACAGCCCATATGCTCCTTTGTTAACTGTACAATGTCAGGAAATGTACAAGAGGCTCACAGCACATGGGGTGGATGGCCTGGAGCACAGGAGGATACAGCCAAGGGTCACATGGAGGAGCAGGCGTGGACAGATGGATGTGGGTGGGCGGATGGAGGCGTGCATGCGTGGACGGATGGGTGGGTACGTGGGTCCCAGGCTGCGCTGTCAGAGGGAGCATCGTCATCAGTGAGGTCACAGAGCCACTGGACTCGTAGAGTGGACATTCATAACGAGAAAGCTAAAACTAAGACTATCTCTGCTTGCAGACAGCGTGATGGTTTATTTAGAAAACCCAAGTGAATCAACAGATTAAATGGCCTCAGCATAATCACAGGCTCTCAGATAAACCCAGAAAAATCATGTCTTTATGCCATCGACAAAACCAAGCAATGGTTAGGAGGAGAAAAATCCTACCAAATCACGATAACATGTATTCATTAGTATACATGTAGATACAGGCCTTATAGAGAGACAATCATAAAAATCATAGCACCTCCCTCCCAGGGTTGTTGAGAGGACCGACATAAGACATAGTATTTGCAAAGGGCTTTGCAAAACTTAAAGTGCTCTCTAAGTGCTGGCTCTCAGAAAACAAGTTTATAGGAAAAAAGGCCTAATTTATGATGATCTCTTCAGAGTACAGTTAAATCAAGCTAATACAAAGATGGCCATGCTACCCTTCTTAACATAATTGCATATTTGATCAAAATATGAATGGCATACTTTATAGAACTGGATAAAATAATACGAAAATTCACAGGAAGAACAGGGAGAATGTAGACAGCTTATGGATGAGCCTATGGTGCTTGAAGGCTTAGAGGGCGCTTTATCTTTATCTGAGGCCCTCTTAAACAAGATCAGAGAACGTCAGAGCTGGGAAGGGACACTGAATGTCATTGGTAGAGGATGAGAGCGGAAGAGTCATCCCTGACAAATTATTTTGCCGTGTTTCTGGTCTGACAGGTTCCTGAACAACATAGCTGAGCTCATGAGGCAGTCCTGTGGCCAAAGAAGGCCTCCAGGTGGGTTCTGAAGGGAGAAGGTCAGGGTGGGCCGGGGCCAAGACCCACTCCCTGTAGAGGACATGCTGTGAACCTGCACAGGGCACAGTCCCTCTGACATCCCTTCCCCAGCATGGGAGAGGAGTCTTCCTTGGAGCTCCACTTGGCTCCTGAGGCCACGTTCTTCTGAGAAGGCTCTGCTCCCTGCCGAGTGGCCTTGGGGAGATCCTTTCCTTGCTATAGTCCTCCATTTCCTCCTCTTTAAAGTGAAGGGGGTGAAGCAGGTTATCCCGGAGGCCCTGGGTAACTTTTGGCGAGGGCTCTCCTTCTCTGGGCCTTTGCTTAGGCTTAGGCTTCAGTCACTTGTGCGTCTCCTTTCCATCTCCACCGTCTGGTGATTCTTGGTGCTTGGTGACCTGGTTGACCTCAGCCCCACTTCAGGAGGAGCAGGGTGGGTGGATTAGATCATCTCTCACAGAATCACATGGCCTTGGCCAGTCTTCCCTCTCTGGTCCTGGGATTTGCGATCGAAAAAGGAGGGGACTGGACCATGCACTCTCTGAGCTGGCAGCAGGACCTTGAGGATTTCTTTTCCCCTCTGCAGAACTCAGAATCCTTGTGTGTAAAACTCAGAGAGTTGACCCAGATACCCTGGGAGGCCATCTAAGTCTCTTGGTCCAGCTCAAAGTCCTCAGAAAATTGCCAGTCAGTTAGTGCGGAGCTGAGGGCAAGGCCTTTTCCTTCCCTGGGCTTGAGGACTTGTGAGGAGTTGGGGCTGTGGGAGTCCTTGTCTCTTCACAGAAGCTCTGGAGGCCTACCTGAACACAGCAATGGCTCTCCAGTATGCGGAGAAACCCAACTACAGAATGCTGCAGACGGTCTTGATGTCGGCTCTTGAAAACCACCACGTTAAACCGTATGACTCCATCAGCTTCTAGACTGTCCCATAGGTAAGGCAGGGGCACCCAGGGGGCACACGTGCCCTCAGCCAGTCCTGGAATGAACCTTGTTTATTTAGCACTGGGGCCAGAAGTCATTGAGCAACATACATCCAGCCTGGCAAGAGGTGGCAGCCAGGAGCTAATGGCCCCTTTTCTTGTCTTCCAGATTTATCCGCTTCTGTTTGAGTGCTTTCTCAAAAAGTGATGATGAAGCCAGTCTGAATGGCCATCTGACGCTGTCCTGGATACGTAGCCAGAGTGTGGAACAGTCTGCACCTGCTGCAGAGCTGACCTCTTTAGGAGACATTTAGAAATTGTCTCAGAAAGCTTGTGTCTTAAATCTTAGATAATGTGAAAATCCAGTTACCTCCCATTAGACCCACTGATTAAGTAGAAGCCACGGCATAGAGAGGAAGGAAGGCAGGAATCCAGAGAGGTCTTGCTCAGGGTGGGGCATCACCAAGGGTCTGTGGCCGTGGGTCGTCCCACAGGGTCAGTGATGCTGGAGCTTGGGCTGCATATATGTCGGGCCTGTCCCCTGTGTACACTTATGTGGTCTGCTTGTGGCCACGTTCACACAGACACTTATCCCCCAGCCTCAGAGCATCTCACCACAGAGCCCTGTCTTGGTGGTTTTGTCCATGGCCATGTGTTCTTCTTTGATCCACTGTTACACGTTCCTGTCGCTGGGTCTCCTGCTTCCCACTGCCACAAGCCCAATCGCAGCTGTTTTGCCAGAACTGTTACATCGCTTTCACATCCCTCAATGTGCTCTGTAATCACACTCATGATGCCTGGCGTGGTGTGACCACAATGGGTGTGCTGCCCATCTGCACAGCCGGACTGTGGGGAGGAACCATTTTGCATCTTCTGGCCTCGACACCTGTCTCCTACCTACGTCACTTTGCTGTGTTCTCTGGACGTTCTGCCGCGGTGGCCTGCTAGAGACTCTTGGATTGGTTCAGGTGGAAAGGTCCTTAGGCATCGTCTACACCAGCCAAAAAATGGCTTAGAAGTCATGGGGCCCTAGTCTTTAAACTGAAGCACAGGGCAGTGCATGATGGCAGAACCCAAAGGAGATGGTGAAAAGAGAGACTTACCCTGAATAAGGAACTTTCACTAAGGATGTGACTCATGGATTTGCATCCCTGGAGTGGAAAAGATGTTCCCGAATAAAAGCATGGAGGACAGAGAGCTTGTGGTGGGGAGATAAGCCCAGGATGTGAGACACGGAGGCTCAGCCTGAAAGGAGGTCAGAGGGCCTCTGTTCCAATGCTGGCCTGAGTAAGAATCCCAATTCCACCCAACAGAATGACCCTCCTGCGCCCAAAGACCTGCAGTGAAGGGTGACTTGTGACTTTACTAACTGTGACACAGATGAGCCAGACCTGAGGGGGGCCTCAGATGCCATGTGGCCAGACCTGGCCCCAAAGTCCCGCCAGAATTTCCTCCACAAGCTGTTATACAGATTCGTCTAGCTTATCATGGCGTAGACAGGAGGAATCTCGTCCTGTTTAGACAGAATCAGGAAAGGACTTTGGAGATGGAGTCCCAGAGATGGTCAGGACCATGGCAAACCACTTACTGTACTTGCTGGACTGTAATAGGAGGATGGCTCCCCGGGTGCTGAGTGGGCCCGAGATTTCTGTGAAATTTTTAAAGTTCTTTGGTCAGCACTTTACATTTTTCTTAGAGGGTTTTCTTAGAAGACATCAGAGCTGAGAGGGAGCTTGCTCAGCTGTTCCAGTCATGTCCGACTCTGTATGACCCCATTTTGGGTTTTCTTGGCAAATATACTAGAGTGATTTGCCATTTCCTTCTCCAGTGGGTTAAGGCAAACCGGTGAGGTGACTTGCCCAGGGTCACACAGCTAGGAAGTGTCTGAAGCCAGATTGAAACTCGGGTCTTCTTGACTCCAAGGCCAGGGCTGTATCCACTAGAGATCCTTAATTCCACACTCATTTTATTCATTTGAGATTGTTTTGTTTTCACTTTCATTCATTTCCCTGATGATTTTTTCCTTTGTACTTATTTTGGGTGGTTTTCTTTTGTGTTTGATTTGCCGATTTTATGATTGTTTTAAAAACTATGTGTAACTTATCTCTTTGGTTAACATAAGCATGTTGCTTGATTGATTAAATGTGCTGTACAGTATGGATTGGTGTTTTCTGATGAGTGACGTGTTTCTTTTGGCATGAACCCAAGGCCATCTGATTGCCCTCTGGACGCTGTCCAACTTAACAGTATACTTACACTGTGGTGCCCACACCGACCCCAGTGTACCAGATATGGTCTTACCTGGGCAGAGGACAGTGCCCCAGGCACAGAAGCTTTTTGGTGGCAATATGACACTGTCAATCCATGGTGATCTTCTAGCCCACTAAGACCCCCAGATCTTTTTCAGATGAAGTACAATGGAAGGACCCCACAAAGACTTGAAAACAGCCAGGATTTCCCCCCCACCATCCCTGAATCTTCTCTTCCCCAAATGAAACACCCCCAGGTCCCTCTCACAGTGCCTTAAGGGCTCGGTCTCCAGCACCTTCATTCCCCTTCAGACACTACAACACATTTCATCCTAAAGTATGGTACCACAAATGGGTGATGCCCCGGAAGAAGCTTGGCCAACCCTTTTGAGGGTGAGGTCATGTGGTGGCTAACCAGTGATAGTTTGTATTTCTAAACCTTTCTTTAAGGGTTTATATAGCACTTCCCCAAAGCCCTGTTAGGTAGGGAGTATGAGGGTTACCACCCCCATTTTACAGATGGGTAAGTTAAAGCTCAAGTCTCATAGCAGGTCGGTGTCAGTATCAGGATTGACAATAACACACATAAAGGCTTGGAAAGCAAAGTGCCTTCCTCACAACTCTGAGGTGGACAGTGAATGTATGATGGTGAGCATGACTGAAAGTGTGATCTGTAAGAAAGATGGGGCCACTGAGGCCCCGAGCTCACTGAGTGCTGAGGTGAGATGTGCACCCTGGACTTGGAGAACTTGTAGTTGAACCCCCACGTTTTTAAAGATGAACACCTGGGTGTGTGATAGAGCCAAGATCACGGACCTGTGACCCATGATGATGATGGGGTTCAGTGGGGACACACATGTATGATCTCCCCACATTAGAAGGTAAGCAGTCCTTCCTTCATCTTTGTTCATTCAGGTTTACCTTTTTTCTGTTTCTCTTCCCTCCTGTGTTTGCACATTAGAGTTTCTATGTAGCTGTGGTCTTTTCATCAGAACTGCTGGAAAACCTTCTATTTTATTAAAGGTCCGTTTTTCCCTCTGTAGCAATATACTCAGTTCTATTGGATAAGTTCTTCTTCATGGTAAACCTATATTCTTTGCCTTCTGGAATATCTTATTCCAAGCTCTCCGGTCTCTTAAAGTGGTAGCTACTAAATCATGTGTAATTCTGACTATGGCTCTTTGGTCATTGAATTCCGCCTTTCTGCTGCTTGCAATGTATTTTCTTTGACCTGGAAGCTCTGGATTTTGGCTGTGATGTTTGGGGAAGTTTTCAGTTTGGGGTTTCTTATAGGAGGTAACCAATGGATTCTTTTCATTTCCAATATACTCTCTGGTTTGGGGAGATCTGGGAAATTTTCTTTTCTTTCATGATTTCTTGAAATATGATGTCTAGGCTTTTATTTTTGGTCATGGATTCATTCATTCTTAAATTCATCTTAAATCATCCTTAATTTTTTTCCTCAATCTATTTTCCTGGTGAGTGTTGGCTCCATGGTACATTACATTTCCTGCTATTTTTTCAGCCTTTTGACCTTGTTTTAATATTTCTTCCTATTTTGTGAAGCCATTGGCTTCTGTTTGATCCATTGTCGTTTTCAGGCCAAGGTTTTGTACCTCTCTAGGCCAAGTTATTAATTCCCTTTCCAATTCTTCCTTTCATGGCTCTCATTTCTTTTCCAGTTTTCCCCTTCACACTCTCATAACATTTACAAAAACGGGATCTAAGCCACACAACTGCTGCCTGCTTCTGAACTTGCTCTTGGCTCCATACCAGCCTGGACATTTGAGCCCCCAGAATGCTCCCCCAGGCGCAGGCCAGCTCAGAATGTGTCACCCGACCCCGAACAGTGAACGCCAAGGCTGCAGCTGTGTCCTCCCCGGGGTTGGGCCCCTTTAAGCTGGGTGAGGGACCTCTCCTTGCCCTGGTGCACAGCCTCTCCCTGCCTGGGAATGCTGCACAGGCACATTCCTGGCCAGACCCCGTCCCCAGTATCCCGAGACGTCTCGGTCTGTCTCCTCTGTTGACCTGAGCTGGAAAAATGGTTCTCTGGAGCTTTTTCCTTGGCTTTTTCCATCGGGCTTTGGCCTGGGGGTGTTTTCTAGATCTATTTGGAGGAGTTGGGGGCGGAGAGGAGTTCACTGTGCAGTTTGGCTCCTGAGCTTACACACCGGCAGGTGAGATACAGCATGGATCATAGATGGATGGGACCTTAAAGGGGCCAGTCCAAACTCCCTGTTTTACAGCTGAGGAAACTGAGGCTTGCTGACAGAGGTTACTGACTTGCCTGAAACCACACAGGTAGTAAGAGCCAAGACATAAGATTCAAATCTAGGTCTCTAAATACAAAATATAACCCTATCAAGCCTAATTCCAAGGTACTTATAAGGCAAATGCTTTTTTGAAGATTGTGTGTGTATGTGTGTGCACACATGTGTGCGTGCACCATACAAACATGTATATTAAAAACACTAGAGAGCATAGGAATAAATGGAGTCTTCCTTCAAATGATAAGTAGCATCTACCTAAAACCTTCAGCAAGCATCATATGTAATGGGAACAATCTAGAAGCATTTCCAATAAGATCAGGGGTGAAACAAGGATGTCCATTATCACCACTGTGATTTTGCTAGCAATAACCATATGTGAAGTCTGGTTCATCACAATAACAGTCAGAGAAATGCACATTAAGATCAGTAACATTTCACCTCTTCAGACTGGCAAAAACAATAAAAGACAAAAAGGGTAAGTGGAGGCACTGGGAAAGATCATGGATCGGAGCTGGACGGCCATCCAGTTTGCCCTCCTCCCATTTTACAGGTGAGGAGTCTGAAGGCCTTGCCCCAGGTCACATAGGTGCTGGGCCTCAGAGGTGGAATCTGGGCACACATCTTCTCTTTCCACCGTGAACACAGGCCTCTCTCTATGCCAAACAACTTGGAATCACATGTAGCAAACAAGGCCCATCCATAGACAGGGCTGTCCCCAACTTGTGGCGCTGGAAGGGAGGCAGAATTGGCATCTCCAGCCTCTTCTCCCCTACCTCTCTGTAAAGGAGACTGGCATTCCTGCCTGGAGGGGAGGCAGAGGTTGGAGCCAAAGGCCACCATTCTGCCTTCCTCAGAGGGGGGTTACTGAGCTAGAAGCATATCCAACTGCTCCCTTAAATAGTATGATTCTGGGAGGTTGGGTTTTTAGGCTCAAGCTAACTCCTGATCACCGTTCATTATTGAGAAAAAGGAAGACCCCAAGCTTTATGTCCATCACTTGTCTCCTTTGCTGTTGAACACCAAGCCATGTAGCAAACAACAAAATAAATCCAGAAGTCAGAGAAAGTAACCTAGAAGAACAAACACTAGGCAGCAGTGAAAGAGCCTTCCCATCGGGAGCAAGGACTCAGCTCGACCAAGAAAGGGAGGCCTTGGTCCTACCTGGAGCCTTTGGTAGAACAGGCTGGGGATAGGGATGGGATGGAGACTCCTGGCTCCATCACAGTGATGTCCTGAGAGCCCAGCGTGACCAGTGACGCCCTCCCTCTGCGTGCTCGGTTCTGCCTGTCCCCAGACTACCTCTCGATGGTCTCTTCCATCCCACCCTTTCCACACCTCTGCCACGGAGATGCCCTGATGCCAGGAGAGTGGGCTGTGACTCCCACCTCCCACTTCCCTCCTTACCTTAGCCCAAGTCCCCCGAGTCCGTTTCCCCTGAGGACTTTGGGCTGGAAGGTTTCTGAGTCACCACCCGGCTGGCCACCAGGACCAAGGCCAGCCTTCCCGAAGGCAGCGTCGTAGGGGACTTGAAAACAAAAGATGCCAATGAATTTGTGTTTTAAAAGTTAACAGGCAGCAGCAAAGTCTTTCACTGAGCTGTGCGAAGGAGCTAACTGCAGGCTGGCCTGGGCGTCACACCCAAGAAATCCACAGTAACTGCATTAGTCTGTTGTGGGGCATTGCCTATGCAAAGTGAGACATCAATCCCTGGCCCTCAGCCTTCCGAGGGACCCTCGTCCCAGCAATCACCAATTCCAGAAAGCTGCCCAAGATCCTGTTAGCTCACTCAGCAG